TCCACACCTGCCTCCAGCCTGCCCTCCTGCTGTGATGACCTGTACTGATGAGAACATCATTTTGGTCATTGCCTTTCCTGATGAAGGTGTCATCTTTCTGAGGACTTGGGTGATGGGTTCTTAGAGTCGATTTTAATTATGGATGAAAGAGGTGTTTGTATATGCAAATGTGAGCATATGTACAGGGTGGGGCCAAAGGAGGTTTACAGTTGTTCATGGTGAAAATAATACAACGATAAATAATAATACAAGAATAAACTCCATGTTCCGTGTGTACTCACAACTGTAAACCTCCTTCTGCCCCACCTGTGTGTACACACAAACACACGAGGGGTGCGGTGAGCAGGCTCTGTCTCACTGGGAAGCCTGTCAGGATTCTGAGCCCTTCGGTTTCAGCATTTCAAGTTCATTTTACCAGAGTCTAAATGTCCGTGGAGATGGGCAGGCATCTTCCCTGCCTCCAGGCCTTGTGTTAAGTCACATCACACCACCCTTGTTATTGTGTTGACTGCCGAGGGGCAGCAGGGCTCCCGCAGGGGAGCCCTCACTCTGAGCCTGTCCAGATGCCTGGATGGCAGGTGCCTAAGACAACTGAGGACACACTGGCCTTTCTTTTTTTTTCATCCTCACCTGAGGATATTTTTCCATTTCTCTTCGGATAGAGTGGGAGGGAGAGAGAGAGAGAAACATCGATGTGACAGAGACACATTGACTGGTTGCCTCCCGCACCACTCTGACCAGGGCTGGGGATGAACCACAACTGAGGTACGTGCCCTTGGCCAGAATCAAACCCACAACTCATTGGTCCATGGGCTGACACTCTAACATGAGCCAAACCAGCCAGGGCAACACACACCGGCCCTTTCTGTGATGAAAGAACAGATCTTTCTACCTTGACGACATAAAACATCACTGTGGGATTTGCTGGGTGCTTTTCATTTTATGAGCTTGTAAAGTAAGATGGGTTGGTGATTTTAATGGTTGTTGCCTTAGATTTAATTCAGTCATTAGGAAGACTGGGTATAGGCTGACACCCCTGGCATCCCCGGGGCTGCTGTCCAGGAGCCTCTGTCTACGGCACGCCAGTTGGCACCAGTGTAGTCACAGTGAGATGTGGGCAATGCCAGCCTCGGCCTTTATGGTTATTGCAGATACATTTGCATGTCATGTGAGTTTTGAACAAATTACGCATTTTCCCCAAAGGAGTCACGGCTTATTGCTTGTCATAAACAAATGTGTGCGACTGTGTGCGTGTGTTGGAGGGTGGAGGGAAGCCTGTCATGTTTCAGACACAGCATGTGTAAGAAGGCGGTAGTGGCCTTTTCCCTGGCAAGGTATATTCCTTGGGTGATGCCCTCTAGATGGGGCACATGGCACCTTTCCCCCTTCATTCTTCTCTCTGAACATGTGCGGTACCCCTCTTCTCTTTCCAGTTGTCTTTGTCATTTATTGGAGGGTACAGGCCTGGTAAAGGGCCAGGACTTCTCTGATGCCAAGCCAGGATGGTATTTTTTCCCTGTCTACTGTGAACTCCTGGGCATTGAACCTGCCAGTGAACCAGCTTTGGAACAGAATCTCCGATCAAGGCAAACGCCCCCTCTTAGAGCAGAGGCTGTCACCCCCTTCTGGAATGAACCTTTGCACCTCTGTCCCTCTGCTACAGACACTTGAGTGAGGACGAGAGGATGGGCATGACTGGGCACCAGGGCACAGTGTCACGTGTCAGGAGCACTGACTGCAGAGGACAGCTAGGACATGGTTCAGAGGAGTGCAGCGTATTCGATTGTGGAGTTGGAAATAGGACATGTATGAGAAGTAATTAGGAATTGTAGCCTCAGGAAAAGAAGCCTGCAGGGAGACCTAGTAATTGTCTTGAAGCATATGAAAGCCAATTATACCACCGAGCTGGGTCAGCTTGTTTCTTCCCCACGGAGCGGAGAGAAACATGTTTAAACTTGAAGAGGAAGGGTCTCAGCTAAATACGGATTGTTGCCTGCTGCCATGAGCTGTGGTGGAGGTGCTCACACCCCAGCTGGAGAAGGTGCCCCCCTCCAGAGGGAAAGCTTAGGCAGAAGCTGGGAGCTGGCTGAGGTATGGTTTGAGTCTCTTTTCTTTTTGCCCCCAAGACTTAGTCATCATATTCAAAAGGTACCATGATGTGTGCTGGCATAACTTGGTGGTTAGGTTGGACACAGAAGCCCTTGAATCTCTTTAGAGGGGTTCGGACTTTACCTCCGCCTTTTACTAGTATGTGATTTAGGGCCAGTTACTTATCTCCTCTGGGCCTCTATCCTCTTTACTATAAAATGGTAATGATAATGTACACTTTGGTTACCGACATACACAGAATTTAGTAACTACCTAACACATGGATAGTGCTAGATATATGGTAGCTAGGTATTTACGACAAGAAATGTTTGTCTAGCTTGCCCGGCTGGTGTGGCTCAGTGGTTGAGTGTTGACCCATGCACCAAGAACGTCGCCGGTTCGATTTCCAGTCAGGGCACATGCTCATGTTGTGAGCCTGATCCCCAGTGTGGGGTGTGCAGGGGGGGCCATCAGTTGATGTTCTCTCATCAGTGTTTCTCTCTCTCTCTCTCCCTCTCTTCTTCTCTCTCTCAAATCAATAAAGAAAAAAAAATTGTGTTTTTTTTGTTTGTTTTTTTTTAAGAAATGTTTGTCTAGCCTATACCTTAAAGGACTCAGTACCCTGATTAAGGAGATTTGATAAATGCACAGATATTTGTTCAATAGGTAGAGCCAGGCTAGAATTTTTAGGATCTCTAAATTCTGATCCATATGTAATTCAAAATAAAAACAATGCTAATCTACAAATAAATGCAAAAAAGACCAATATAGTTCTGACGTTTACCATGATTCTAGTCCACAGTTTTTGTTTTGTTTAGTTTTGTTTTTTAAAATCAATATTTCAGTCTTGTAAAGACACGCGTATCCTAAACACAAGCTCCCTCTGCAGGTTGGACAGCCAGCCCAGGGGTGAGGTGGAGTCGCAGCGTAGTGTACCCGATGTTGCCATCACAAGCAGCTGCCGAGTGCTTGATCAGTGCAGCATGGTTGGAGGAAACAGAAGCCAACTCGGTTGACTTAAGAAGTTTCTGAAAGAGGTGCTTTATTAGAAGGGTAGCAGAAGCTGAAAGAACTGCTGGGGGTTGGAGTGGACACTAGGCGGAAACTGAGGGCCCTGCAGACAGTCAGACGTTGGACATGGTCAAGTCCAGGTGCTGCCACCTTGGCTGAGGTGAGTTTGATCTTTGGATTTTCTCTGAGTCACTCCCTGAAGACTCTATGCTCAGGGAAATGAAGTGTCTGATCCCTTCGCCCATAGGTGAGAGGCAAGCATCAACAGAAGCTTCATTCTCACCTGCACTGCACAGATGGGAGAGCCATCTGTGCTAGGAGGGAGGGAGTTAGATACTGGACAGCAAGACAGGTATCCACCGTGCCTTCCACCTGTGGGTCCTGGGCACTGCCAGCATGATAGTCAGACCTGCTCTCTGCTGGTTCGCAGTCTCCACTGTTTACCTGTGTGTTTCTGTCTGTGTGTTTTCATCTTGTCTCTGCAGGGGGCCATTAGTTCCATGAGGATAGTGACCCCAGTTTACAAGCTTTGTGTCCCCCAGTGTGGCCCTCAGTAAAGGTGTGGTGATCTGCTGATCGATTGCATCACTGTTTATTGGATTCTGAAGTGAGTTCACTTCCTTCAGCACCACTAGAAGATGATTGGATGTCCCTGAGCTAAAGAGTATATATTAGATATTGGGATTGTGTAGTTAAAACTAGTAACAGCCCCTTGGCCTCAAAAAAAAAAAAAGCACATACCTCTCTATGATTGCCCGCTGAGCTCCACCATCAGGTACAATAGATCTGGGTCTCCAGTGGAAAGGTTGAAGAATAAAACAAACTTATCCCCTCAGTGGCTTTATTAAACAGTGCACAGATGACAGTGCATGAAATATCAAAATATTGATGCACAGAGAACCTGTCCTCCTACATGGAAACTGAGATCGCTTGGAAATGTTGCTATTTCCCTTGTTATATCCTGCCCTGTCTATTAATGGAAGGATGGACCCAATTGGGTCTTGTTTTCCAAGTCCTAATTTCCTGCCATCACGGAGGCATCAAAATGAACAGACGGCATGGCAAAGTATTGGCCTTTTCACATAAGACAGCCTGCAGGATGGGGCACCACCTCTGGGTTAAGTTGGAGGGATATTCTGATCACAGTTTTGAGAGTTGATAGAGTATTATTTTGTTTTTGCATCCATCTGGAAAATTTAGAAGTGGCAAGGGTTGTTGTTGAAGGCCAGGGCTGCTTTAGGTAGTGGCGAGGGTTTAAGTGCAGTCATCACTGAATTCCTTGAGAAGGAAGGCTGTTTTAAAACAATGGAAGTGAAGTATAAAATCCTACACTTCAAAGCCACGTGCTCAGGCCACGTGCTGGCCAGGGTGGCTGACTGTCCTGGTGACAGTGAGTGAGGCGTGTGCAGCGCACCAGCAGCTGCTCTGGTACACTTCATGGACTTTAAGTCGCAGTTTCCTTTATAATTGGAGGCACACAGACAACCCATGTTTATTAGAAGGGTACAGAGGTTGTCATGTTTCCCTCGGCTGGGAAGAGCAGTTTCAGCGTGGCTGGAGGTGTTAGCTGATGAGTTCAGCAAGTCAAGGACCAATCCTGAATGCCTACTGCGTGCCGGCCTGGGGTTTTCCTCACTTGTCTTCATTTTGTAAAACTTTTTATCATTTGTAATTTTTCTTCCAACAGCTATTTTTGTCTAAGGATAAGTTAAAGCTGGATGTAAATACACACAGCTCAAGGCTGCCTGAAACCGACGAGTGGCTTTTTCTTTATTCAGCAAACATTTGCAGAGCGCCCGTTATGAGCTAGGCCCCGGCCCTTCACAGCACACAGCCTTGTAGTGCTGCCTGTCCTTCATGTGGTGGTTTCCAGAACGTCACCTAGCAGTTAAGTTCAGCCGACATTTAGTCGGCGGGGCACAGGGCCGTCCCCTGCTCCAGGTGCTCACAGGCAGGAAGACAGACAGGCCGAATGGAAACTGTACGGCGCGTGACTCCCAGGCATGGTGAGTGTGGGCCATAGGGGGCTGTCCAGAGGAAAGAATGAACTCAGAGGTGGGCGTGTCCAGGGAAGAGCAGGGTGTTGGAGCACAGGTGGGTGCCGCCCAGGTGGTGGTGCCCGCAGGTCTGAGGGTGCCCGCTCATATTTGAGTTCCCTTGGAGGGTCTCTCTGTTCACTCCCCTAGAACACATGCATTTATGTTCTATTGTGGCGACAGTCTGATGGCTGGTTCCCTGTGTGTGTGGTGGTGTTAGAGCACAGTCAGTGGTAAGGGCTTTGTAGCCACCACAGGAGGGCTGAATCAAAGCTTATTACTCTGCACTCGGGCCTCTCTGAACTTCAGTTTTCTTATCTTTAACGTGGTAATAGTGATTGCACCTGTGTTAGTCAGCTCGGGCTAGCATAGCAACACTATAGACTCCATGGCTCGAACAACAGAAGTTTATTTCCTCACAGTTCCGGGAGCTGGAAGTCAGAGGTCAAGGTGCAAGCATGGTCAGGTTCTGGGGAGAGCCCTCTTCCTGACCTGTGGACAGCCACTCTGTTCTCTGTGTGCACCTAGGGAAGGAGAGAGAGCAGGTCAGGTCTCTGGTGTCCCTTGTGAGGGCTCTAATCCCACCATGAGGCCCCACCCTCATCTAGTTACTCCCAAAGGCCCCATCTCCAAATATCATTTGAAGAGGGACACAAATTGTCCATAGCAGCACCTTCCTCACTTGGTGGCTGTTAGATAATGTTTGCAAGAGCCTCGTCAAGTGCCTGGCATGTCCCAAGTGTTCTGTGAACGTTAACTTCTGCAGTTGCGTGGGGACATCTCTTTCCCTATAAAATCTTAGGTTCCTCAAGGCCAGGGCTGTATTTTATTTATGGCTGCCTCTCTTAAATGACTGGTGAAATGGGGTTATTAGTGAAGGGAGAGAAAGAATGGAGAACTTGGACTGGGAATGAAAAAATGGATTTGAATCTTGGCCTGGGCATGTTCTAGCTGCGTGACCCAGGGCAGTGGTCAGTCCTCCCTGAACCTCCGTTGTTGTTTGTTTGTTTGTTTGTTTTTTCCTGTTTGGTGAGATGAGAGAAGCACAACTCTTAGCCTTCTGGTGAGGGTTAAACGAGACCATCCAGGTGAAAGCACCGACTCTCCGGTGCGCCGCAGGTGTTCTCTAGAAGTCGCTGGGTGAGGCCCCACACGTTTACTCATGCAGTGTGCTTAGAGCCAGCAGCCGGTCAGCCTGCGCCGTGACCCCAGGCGGTTCTGGTCGGACTGCTCTCGGTGGGGCCCGGGCCCCAGTGGGTGTGGGCCTGAGCAGAGAGACCTTTGGTGAGATTCTTGACAGGGATTTTACAAATATAAAGATAAACTTAATCTGGTAGAGAATTAATGACTTAGATCCAATATTCACGTAGTAAAATGGGTTCTTGTGAATGGTCTTGGTCCCGTTAACAAAATTTAATCTAGAGGTGAAAATTTATGGGGCAGCAAGCAATCTGTCTTGCCTGATGGTGTTCAGAAGTGCAAATGAATACTTCATATCATCTCTCTTTTTCGGAGTTTATCAGTGTACGAACATTTACATTTCAGACAAGGTAGTCCTCACACCACTGTCTTTTTATGGCCTGAGATGCATGAGTTTGAAATATATGGGCTGTTGACAGCTTACATTTTCTGAGAAGCCACACTGAACAAAAGGACGTACAGTCTATATTAATGAAGGTCGTTGTCTGGTGTAGACCTTACAGATAACTGCAGGGATGCCTTTTGGGCCATGACACAGACACTCGTCATGGCAGGGAAACTGAGGCACACATCGGCACGGCCATGCTGACTGGTAGGTCTTAGCTCCGAAAGCTTAGAAAGTCTCCATGTCATCCAGCCTCATCATTAAGGGCATAGTTTTGAGGCAGACAGACCTGGGTGTGAGTTCCTCTAACTACGTGGCCTTGGACTAGTCATTGAATGTCTTTGAACCCAAGTTTCTGTGTGTATACATAGGAGTACTGGCACCTAACCACAGGGCTGTGTTGACGATTTAATGAGATGGTACATGGAAAGTGCCTAGCAGTACCCTGCACACACACCATGTCCAGGCACTGTTGGCCATTATTACTACTATTGCATAACCTAGTAATGTGTTACTAGGTGATTACCAGGTGTGAAGTAGTGACCTTGGAAAGTTTTAGAGCCTGAAGCAAAAATGTTCCATCATCCTAAAACATCCATTTGAAAGGTCCTTAAGGAATTTGCCTTTTTATAGGTCCTTGAGCCCAGGAGAGGGTTCTAGGGTACCAGACTTATCTCCACCTTCTCTCTGTCTTTGGCCTGGGCTCTCCTGCCTCTCCCTGGTAGCCATGAATGCCATCCGGCACGTGTCACTAGGAGGTCGTTCACATGGCAGAAGGCACTGACTCTCCCGTTCACTACGACATTCCCAGCACTGAACCAGTGCCTGGCACATGGTGGGTGCTACATATATGTTTGTTGCTGAATAAGTCTGTTTCCTTCTGGGCTTCAGAGTGTGCATCTGTTCCCTCCCGTGACAGAAAGGTCTCTCCTAACTTCCACCTCTCTCAACGAAGTTGAAGGCGATGGGTAGTTTGGAAGCTGTATATCCTTTTTCATTTTCATCTGGCTCCACGTGACTGAGTAGTTGAAGCACTGGGCTGGAGGTGTGAGTCCAGGTGTCTGGTTTCAGCCCTGTAGCTAGTTTGCTGAGGAACATTAGACAAGTCAGCCTGCCTGCTCTGGACTCCAGTGCCTCAGGAGTACCCTGAGGAAACTGGTTTGTATGCTTTCTGGAGGACCTTTCCCATGCTGACGTGGATGGATATGCTCTCTGGAGGTTCTTCAGGGACAAAGCCCACTGTCTCCTTGCCTCTTCCTGTGGCTCCAGGTCCAGCAGGCTCACTGACTTCCCACATTGCTCACGCAGAAATGAGTGCAGCATCAAAGACTGTGAACATGGCTCCTCCCAGCGAGCCTTGTGTGTCTAAGCTGGTATGGCAACCTGTTGACATTTCAGGCCAGATAATTCTTTGCTGTGTGGAGCTGTCCTCTAGACTGTAGAGTGCTTAACACCTGCCCTGAGCTCTACCCACTAAATGCCGGAAGCATCCTGCCCCTTCCCACATCAGTTGTGATAAGCAGATTGTCTCCAGACACGGCCAGATGTCTCCTGAGAGTGTGGGGGCTGTGTAATAGCTTTGATCTAAGCACACATTCTTCCCCGGTCTTCCTTCAGATGGCATTTTAAGAAGCCAGAAGGTTCTCTCAGGAGACTAGAGAAATGGGAATAGTATATTGATCAGAGGCTTCTTTCCCTGAGGGTTGGAGGAAAAGAAAAAGAAAACACTTTCTCACCAGCTTGAAAGTAAAAATGTAAAGCCAGCTCAAATATTGTGCCAGGGCGCTGTGTTTGCACTGAGGTAATCCACGTGCACCGTATCACTGGAGCTGAGAATGGGGACAACAGTTCTCAGACCTCACCCGGACCATGGCAGCGACTGGATCTTATTCTTACATCAGGGAAATGGGGTAGCTGTGGCACTGGCTCCTCGATGAGACACAGGCTTTTAAAATGTGCTGTGGGCTGTGACGTTGAGGAGGGTCTGCTTACCCAGTCACTCTGAAGTCACAGCAATGATGGTTCAGTGCATCAGCTTTCCAGTGTGGCTGCATTTAACCATCTAAGACTTGCTCAGCATCCTGAACGTGTACTTTCTGACCACAGACCCCTGGGATGCTCTCTAGACACCACGGAGCTGTCTTGTTTAAGAGTTCTCTGGATGGCAGCCACGGAGCCTGACTGAGGTATCAGGGAAGGATGTCCAAGGCTCACAAAGGCTGGAGAGGATGGAGTGGAAAACCCTGGCTTGGACGTGGGAAAGGCCGAGGATGAAGGGAATTCAGAGGGCTAGCTGGTGATAATGCCTGAAGTGCCCTCTGCCCTGGGGCCTCTCCGTTGCTTTGCAGAGTCACCGGAAGGACGTGGGGACTGAGGAACCAGGGCGGAGAGAGGAAGCACCACCTGGCACTTGGTACCCCTGCCCCTTTGGTGGGAAATGGGAGTTTGAACCATACTACGTAGCCTGAGCCCACCGGGGAGAGAAGATTCGGTGTCCGGAAACAGGGTGCTGTTAGTAAGGGGATTGAAGGATTTAAGGTGAACCTCCACTCTGGGCCCCTCACATCACAAAGATGCACATAAAACATTAGGTGCAGATTTTAGACCTTCTGAAGCCTGTCTTTTTACCCCTGGTTAACACACTTTCATCCCCAGGAATTTCTGGTTTTTCATATGGTTTCAGGAGTTAGTGCCCAGGGAATGAGACTTCTGTGGGCTGTGATGTAAGGAGGATCTTAATTGCAGACCTAGCGACTGACCAGAGGGAAGCCACGTGGAAGGTGTCCGCGGCCACTTTGAGATGCATGGTGGTGACAGCCCCACCCTGGGGAACCCGGGGGGAAGAGGTCCCTTTGTGGCCCCGGCCATGCAGTCACCTCTGGGACCTGACAGCACTGAGACTGAGGTTCAGCTCAGTCCTGACTCCAAGGAGGAAAGCAGAGGAAAGCCTGTTAGGGGAATTCTCCAGGCAGAGGATTGCTGAATTAATTACCCAGATGGCAACATTCAAAGGAAGAATAATTAGCCTGTTAAAGCTTAAAAAAAAAAGTAGTTATGTTGTTTGCCAAACACTGAAATACACGCGCTGAAAACTGCTTTTTGACTAAGGAAAACGAACCCTGCTGGAACATTCATCCAATGGTCCTGGGAGTCCTGGCTGAGGGACGCGAGTGCGGAGTTGAATGGTGCGATCGCTTATTTTGTGAAGAAAATAGATGTTCCTTTGGAGCTGTGTGGTACAAACACCAGTGCCTTTAGGGACCAGGCAGGCAATTACTGTAGGAGAGAAGGAGAAGGAAGGGACCAAGGCGAAACAGGTGTACAGAGGGGAGGGCACGGCGACAGGGCACAGGAGGCAGCCTGTGGGAGCATGGCCAGCTCTTCC